CGGTTGATTGGTTGAGAATCCGGTAGTCTATGCAGGGGTGCAAGCCTCCGTCCTTCTTACCGACGAAGAAAAAGCTGGAAGCGGCAGGTGACGTAGATGGACGGATATAGCCTTGTTGTAGTGCCTCCTCGATGTACTCCTCCGTGGCCTTCTGTTCCGGGATGGACAATGGGTAGATCTTACCATGCGGAAGCACCGCCCCAGGCAGCAGGTCAATCGCACAGTCCCATGGCCAGTGAGGTGGAAGGGTGGTTGCCAGCTGCTTGCTGAAGACATCCTGGAACGACGGAGGTTGAAGCGAGGGGAACCGGAGATGAAGGAGCAGAAGATAGACGAGAAGACTTCTTGACTGGTAGTAGACAATGGTTGAAGCAGTACCCCACTGCAGGATCTCACCCGATGACCACTGGATGTTGGGGGTGTGTCTTTCCAACCAGGGGCGTCCCAGGATGATCACCGGAGTAGAACCCCTCCAGCACCAGAAGTGAGATTTCCTCACGATGAAGATGACCAATCTGAAGAGTGATGTCCGGGTTGCGATGTCCAATTCTTCCTCGGCCCAGCGGTTTCCCCAGGATGGATTGGATGTGGAGAGTTTGGGGAATCGCTTGTTGACGTGTCTGAAGCCATTGAAGAGTGGACAGAGCTATAAAGTTGCCTGCAGATTCAGAGTCAATCAGGGCTTGTACTGGAAGAGCTCGGTGTAGATAAGTGATGATCGCTGATGTATATTTCATAGATGAGATGGGTAGCGGTAGACGGACTGTACTCACCGCGGGCCGAGGAGGACGGATGGGACAGGTGGGTAGCTGATGACCGGTAGCTCTACAATACAGACAGAGATGATTGGAGATACAACGTTGACGTTCAGATGAAGACAGATGATGGGACCCAATATCCATGGGTTCTGGTGCTGGAAGGTTCGCGCCTGATCGTGGACGAGGAGGTGTGGGGGTGTCGAGGATGCATGCAGTGTGGCGTTGATCCAAGGCGGATGGAGCGTTGGATGATGTTCTCGAGTCCTACGACGTCATCATAGATAGCTAGTTGTAACCGAATCTCTGGGTTTAAACCGTGACGATACGCCGTGATCAGCGCAGACTCATTCCACCCACATGTGGCTGCAAGCGTGCGAAACTGCAAGGCATATAAGACACTGAAGATTTACCTTGTTTAATCCGAAAAATCTGATCTTGTACTGATATGGCATTAGAGGACTGAGAAAAAACTTCTAGGAAGTGAGCTGAGAAGGCTGAGAATGTTTGTGTTACCGGACCACGATCCTTCGAACGAGATAGACCGTTTTGCTCACGTGTCTGGTACTTCTGAAGTTACAGTAACACACAACTTGGGGGCGCTCAAACACAAAACGGTCTTGCCGAGCAAACATACGACGAAGAAGATATAACCTACAAGGCAAGATACCTATGGGCAAGATGAATGTTGAACTGTGATGAGAGTTGAGATGAGAACTGCGCATAGTGGGTAGTGTCAGTTAGATTTTGACAAGTGAGGAGAGGAGATAACTGCTCTGCCGACTCTTTGTATCCTTTCTTTTATTTTATTTTTCTATTGTGACCAGAGTTGGATGTCGATCCCCATGTATGAGGACGAGTGTAACATTTGAGTGGTTTTATTAAACGCGGGGAAATACGACAACTCTCGTCTTTTGTGCATCTGTTCATCTGTTCATCTGACAACTAGTGCTATGTTTATATCTCTGGGCAACATCTCAACTTTGTGTTACACATGTCCTGTTTCCACGTCCTGTCCTGGCCGTCCTGGCTGTTTTTAAATGATGAAAATGTCCTGGTTTTCAAAAAAACTGCTGGGAAAGATCAGTTCTACAGCAAAATATAGATGGGCAAACAAGGTGGACGAGGAAGAAAAACAGGATAAAGAGGATGGAAACTAAAGATATAAAGAGATAGATTTTTTATTTCGTTTTTGTAAGTTTGTGAGAGCTATTTTTTGTTACATTTGGAGGCATTTCTTTTAATTATTTATTATTTATTTATTTATTTTTCTAATACAGAAGACATTATTTCTATCATTATTTCATTCATTATTTTTTTTAATCTGTCATAATAAAACATGTTGAGACATGAATATGATCACCCTAGTATAGTATTCTATTATTATTTCTGTTTAACATTAAGCGGCATCTAAAGTCAGGGAATGAATTTGCATGTTCACTCGGCTCATCGTCAGTGAAAAATGCTTGGGTGTGAACGCAAAAAACGGTGACGAATAACGCGCGCTGATATTCGTCCCGGTGTGTACGGGCCTTAAAGGTGAAATTTATGAAAAATAAGACTTTTTCAAAAAGAAAAACCATGAATACATGTTATATTGCACCCCATAAACACAATCATGCAAAGAAAAAAAGCAGTAAACCACCCCTTTAAATGTTTCTTATTGTCTGTAAGGGCAGCTACTGTACTACTATGCACTACGCACTTTTGAGTCCATGACAAATTTCCCCTAGGGGACAATAAAGTATATTCTATTCTATTCTTCTGGCCAATCCATAAAGGGTGGGCTTTGTGTGAGACTGAGCCGGCCGGTGGATGCGCCTCTTCAGCCAAGCCGCCTCAGCTATCTTTAACGTTACAAGATCGACTGGCAGACTAGGCTACTTTTTACAGTCTATGGCTACTACACATATCAGTCTATTCTATGTTTGTCCCGAGAAAAATGGCGTTCGTCAGGTCCAGTTTTGTATCCAGCCTCTCACTGGGATTTCGTATGCCCCAACGCCTGTGATGAGAAGACCAACGCCTGTGAAGAGATGACTCAACGCCGGCGATATGTTATGGCGCCGTTTTATACATAAACAATATTTATATTTAATATTTATATATAAACAATATTAATGTAAGCCAGAGGTTCTCCCAAGGTTTTTTCTCCATCCAATCTGATGGAGTTTTGGTTCCTTGCCACTGTCGCCTTGCTTTTGGCTTGCTTAGTTGGGGTTATTTAATATTTAATATTTAACAATTTTATTGATCTGTGTTGTACTACTTTCATGTTATCACTGTGAAGCTGCTTTGATACAATCTGTATTGTGAAAAGCGCTATACAAATAAATGTGACTTGACTTGACTTATGTAACATTTATTCATTTGGCAGACGCTTTACAGTGTTTCAAACGTCAGTTATAACCGGTTATAACCATAGGCATAGGCGTAATTTGCGGCTGAGACAGGTGGGACATGTCCCCACCACTTTTTGCCAGGGTCGATATTGTCCCCACCAACTCGGGCACATGCTTTAATCTGTTGCGGAGAATCTATTCGTTCTGGTGAAATCACAAAGTAAAATGCACACAAAGTGTCCCTGCTTGATATAGAAAAAAACAAAAAAACTATACGAGTTCGAATTAGAACCCAGAACCTCTTACATGGTTGGCAAAAGTTCTGCCACTGGACCATTAAAGTGCCTGCATGTAGTTGTCGGATTTATGTATTTCTTCACGTGAAAATTCTCACCAACAACGACATATTAGATTTCACTAAACAACAAATTAAACACAATGTACTATTTAAATCGATTGCTGGACATCGGTATGGTATTGTACATAGGTACATCTGATTTATGATTTAGTATTGTATTAGCACAAAACCCTACCCGTCCCTACCTCGGTCCAGTGGCAGAACTAAGCGATTTAATGTTAACAGTTGTAGTGCCACTGCCCACAAACATTGATGCTAAATAGCGTTAACTACGTAAAATAGTAGTGGAATATCACTTACCGGAAAAAAAAAAAAAAAAAACTGGAGCGAAGTACTCCTACAGTGTCGGTTAATGCAGTTTATTGCAGAGCAACCCATTTTATGTACGATATTTCAATACAAATGTTCAGAAAGATATTTGCTCCTTTTTGGGACATCCCGCTAGCGGATTTTCGATGTATTGCAGTTTTCCACTTCTGGGTAGGCTTCATTTTTCAGATTAGAATGTTGCCGCTTGGTTAGCACGTAACGTTAGGGCTCGCTAGGATAGGACTGATCTTCAGTCACAACTTGATGATTGCGGTGTTATTCGGTGGGAACATTAACTTCTGACACCATGTTGTAGTCTTTGTTAAACTTCGGTTAGCATTAAAGACACGTACACACAGGAGTCAGTTAACACGCTGAGCTTCTTTACCAGCATCTGTAGTAAAAACTCCCTGTCATACCAACTACACGAACTGTATGGGGGTGTCCTGATAAGAACCATTTACTGCATATACTACAGCCTGTATATGTTATATACCGTATAAGTTTGACCCCACCCCTTTTTTCTTTTTATATATAATTTTTGAGACCTACGGAGCCCCTAAAGGGACCTTTGCAAAATTAAAATATAGAGACTTTCACATGCTCACGAGAAACATTTCCATGCTCATAAAAAACGTGTCACGTACGCACAAGAAAAATATTGCGTGCGCACAAGTTCGTTTTCTCGTGCGCAAGCAATAGTTTCTCGTGAGCATGTGATATTTTCACGTGAGCAATTGAAAGTCTGCATATTTTAATATTGCAAAGATCCCTTAAGGGGGCTCCGTAGAGAATCATTCATTATTAAATGACAGTATAGACACAATATTGTCAATATTAGTGTTTTCGCTCCATTTCGCCAAAGAAAATAGTTTTAAACAAAGCAGAACTGTTGTGCCTCTATAGAGCAACACACACAGGTCTTTCGTTTCTGAATAAATCCATGTTTTTGAATGATTCAGTGAGTCAATGGTTCAAATTTTTCATTCATAAAACACTTACTTCACTCCTGAATAAAGGTACCTACTTGGTATCGTGACAACCCTAGTACCTTCCTAAAATAATCATGGAACTTAGTTATATATAAATATATTTAGGCTATTTTTTGGTCATTTGGAAGTTGCATTCAAAGTCAAAGTTTGGGTTCATAATGATGCTTTTGACCATAACGATAATGTCACAACAGTAATAATGGGCCAAAGACACAAGTAAGACTTTGTTCATTAGAAATCTCACCTGAGCTGTGAGATGTAGGGCAGACACTGGAGGAATCCCCTCACTTCACTCTCTTCATCTGTCCAGTCTATCAGCTCTACTGGTTTCTTCTCTGTCTGCAGTTTCAGCACTTCTAGGAGGATGGAGATCTTTCTCTCTGAGAGCTTTATTCTCCAGACTGCAGGAGCTGACTGATAAACTGGCTGTAATGCTGGAAGGACACTTCTGCCTGTCTGAGTCTCATAGTCCTTCACATGTGACCACAGATCCAGCAGGAAATCAGACTTCTCATATTTCACATATGACAGTAATGCCTCCATCGTTTTCAATATTGTTTCCTTTTGGTAAAAAGCAGCTTGCAGGCAGTGATTCAGTACAAATAGTCTCTTTCTATTCTCCCATTCTTCAATTTTTTCCTTTTCTGGTGGGCTAAATCTACACAAACATATTTTGTTTCAATTTCACAGTTAGGACATAACATCGGTTAACAATAAATAATGAAAAAAGGCAAAGATAAAATGCCAACCTCAATTGTGAGATGTAGGGCAGACACTGGAGGAATCCCCTCACTTCACTCTCTTCATCTGTCCAGTCTATCAGCTCTACTGGTTTCTTCTCTGTTTGGAGTTTCAGCACTTCTAGGAGGATGGAGATCTTTCTCTCTGAGAGCTTTATTCTCCAGACTGCAGGAGCTGACTGATAAACTGGCTGTAATGCTGGAAGGACACTTCTGCCTGTTTGAGTCTCATAGTCCTTCACATGTGAACACAGATCCAGCAGGAAATCACATCTCTCATATTCCTGAAGAGACAGCAGTGATTCTACAGTCATCTCTGTGGTGCCTTGTGTATCTGTTAGAGCAGCTTGCAGACACAGAGTTAAAAAAAGAGACCGCTTTTGTTTCTCCCATTCTTCACAGGATCTCGTCTCTGGTTGGGTAAATCTACACAGTCACAAAAAAGCAGCTCCATTACAATCTAGCAATCCAAAAAAAAAAACTACTGGTGGGACAAACTCTCACCTGAGCTGTGAGATGTAGGGCAGACACTGGAGGAATCCCCTCACTTCACTCTCTTCATCTGTCCAGTCTATCAGATCTACTGGTTTCTTCTTTGTCTGCAGTTTCAGCACTTCTAGGAGGATGGAGATCTTTCTCTCTGAGAGATTTATTCTCCAGACTGCAGGAGCTGACTGATAAACTGGCTGTAATGCTGGAAGGACACTCCTGCCTGTCTGAGTCTCATAGTCCTTCACATGTGACCACAGATCCAGCAGGAAATCAGACTTCTCATATTTCACATATGACAGTAATGCCTCCATCGTTTTCAATATTGTTTCCTTTAGGTAAAAAGCAGCTTGCAGGCAGTGATTCAGTACAAATAGTCTCTTTCTATTCTCCCATTCTTCAATTTTTTCCTTTTCTGGTGGGCTAAATCTACACAAACATATTTTGTTTCAATTTCACAGTTAGGACATAACATCGGTTAACAATAAATAATGAAAAAAGGCAAAGATAAAATGCCAACCTCAATTGTGAGATGTAGGGCAGACACTGGAGGAATCCCCTCACTTCACTCTCTTCATCTGTCCAGTCTATCAGCTCTACTGGTTTCTTCTCTGTCTGCAGTTTCAGCACTTCTAGGAGGATGGAGATCTTTCTCTCTGAGAGATTTATTCTCCAGACTGCAGGAGCTGACTGATAAACTGACTGTAATGCTGGAAGGACACTCCTGCCTGTTTGAGTCTCATAGTCCTTCACATGTGAACACAGATCCAGCAGGAAATCACATCTCTCATATTCCTGAAGAGACAGCAGTGATTCTACAGTCATCTCTGTGGTGCCTTGTGTATCTGTTAGAGCAGCTTGCAGACACAGAGTTAAAAAAAGAGACCGCTTTTGTTTCTCCCATTCTTCATAGGATCTCATCTCTGGTTGGGTAAATCTACACAGTCACAAAAAAGCAGCTCCATTACAATCTAGCAATCCAAAAAAAAAAAAAAAACTACTGGTGGGACAAACTCTCACCTGAGCAGTGAGATGTAGGGCAGACACTGGAGGAATCCCCTCACTTCACTCTCTTCATCTGTCCAGTCTATCAGATCTACTGGTTTCTTCTCTGTCTGCAGTTTCAGCACTTCTAGGAGGATGGAGATCTTTCTCTCTGAGAGATCTATGATCCAGACTGCAGGAGCTGACTGATAAACTGGCTGTAATGCTGGAAGGACACTCCTGCCTGTTTGAGTCTCATAGTCCTTCACATGTGAACACAGATCCAGCAGGAAATCACATTGGCCAATATGATAATTCATATTTTCAACACAGGGGAAAGATGTGTAGCTGAACACAGATTTTAACAGTTCAGTGAATTCCTTCCCAGCAGATTCTGATGCCGCAACACTCAAATTAAGCAAAAACTGAAAGGCTGATTTCTTCTCCTTTTCAAAATATATAACATCTTTATAGAAGCTGAGGAAATAGAGACATGAAAAAAAATTATACAATTTGGTGTTGAAGGGTTAGGTAATGAAACTGGCAAGTAATTTTTACAACTGAGTAAAATTCATGCAATTCAGAAGTGTTAACAATTTAGGTACAGTATAATAAAAGAAATTTTCACTTGACTTTGAATTTACCACCAGAATTATAGGCGCAAGCTCACATGAGAATCAATGATAACCCCAACCAGATCAACTATAAATCTTGTGGTAATCATAGATAACCAGCTAACATTCAATGATTTTGCATTGCACAACATCAGGAAGTGTAGGCCCTTCCTAACTGATCATGCTGCAAATCTCCTTATTTAGAACCTTGTCATCTCTTGACTGGACTACTGCAATGATCTTCTGACTGGACTTCCTGCATGTGGAGTCAAACCTCTTAAAATTATCTAGAAGACTACGGCACGACTAGTCTTCAATGAGCCCACATTATTCTGTATCTCTCTTCACCTGTTGCTGCTCTTATCTCCACTCCTTCTTCCGAGACTACATTCTCTCCAGAAGTCTGTGTCCAGTGAATGAGAACTGTCTAATGGTACCATCACAGAGGGGCACAAAATTACTTTCCAGAACATTGACATTCATTGTTCCTTGATGTGGAATGATCTTCCTAATGCTATCCGGACAGCCAAATCCCTGAAGAGTTCCAAGAAAGAGCTGAAAACTCAGCATCCTGCTGACTCTTATACTTATATACATCCTTATTTTTAATATTATCAATCTTATTTTTTATAAATTCCTCCCTGCTTGTACTATCCACCTTTTTCTGCGCCCGTTCTATTTCCCATGATTCATAGCGGATTCAACTGACTGGACGGTTTTCTACTTCCTGTTGAAGTATTTGTTTACATAAAATGCTAGCACTCTAGTCCAGACCACTCATCTAGAATGATAAATTATATAGATCAGTGGTCCAGACATTAGAAAAATATCAGTCTACACATGCGTTTTATATTCACGGACATGACCGATTCTGAAAGCGACTTTAAAACTTTTACAGAGATCTTAAAGAAAAACCACAAAAGAAACCTTTCTTTAAAGTGAATTTCGTTGTTCACTAATTGTATCTTAATTTCAATCAATGTTTCATCAACCAATCGCCTGGTTTTAATAAATAAGAAGTATATAACAATAGATGATGATCATGACGGAGCCGACAGCACGCAAACTGGACTTTGGTCTCATGAATGAAACTCGGCGTAACGTTATGCCTAACCTCACTGGCCTGAGAAATATATAGACTATGCATCTTTGAAAGCAGAGGTAGACAGGAGTAAAAGGACAAACCATCCTAACCTTATATACTGTTATTCTGCAGCAGTCGGGGTGATAGAAATTGTCGGATGTTTGCTGGATTAGGGAGATCGTGCAGTCATGCATCAGCTATCCTTTGGAAGTTATGAAGCAAAGGAAAACGTTCATTTTGTTTTTTATCTGTGATGTAATAAAAAATAACGTGATCAGATCACATTTGATGAATGTTTTTTCGATTTAGTTTAGCAATGTGGGTATGACACTAGTAGCAGTTTTAGGCACGGGCGAACCGGGCAGTCGGCCCGGGGCGGCATTTCTTCATGTCACATGGGGGGCAGCCCGAGCAGTTAAAAAAATCCTCTGTGCCGCGAAGGTTTTCTATTTTTTATCATTTTGATTCAATTATTGGCAATGGCATTGGCGCCCCTGCTTGCTGAGAAGGAGCCGTTCACAGAAGCGATGTCAAGAGGGTCTCCTGATTAGTTCACGTATCACGTCTTTTGCACGCTCGAGGCCGTTATTTCAAATAGGCGCAAGGGAAGCGCGCTCATTATGCACTCTCTGACCCTTTCACTTTTAAAAACTCCATTTTGTGACAAAGTATAGTTTAACAAGTCATAACTAAAACTGCAAACTGCAAATTAACATTTATATGCGAATATATCATAGACATAATATGTTACAAACTAAATATGAATATTTAGATAAGATATCGTGGATTAGTTTTTGGATAGATTATACAAATTTTACAGTAAAAAAAAGGACATTCAGCAGTCAGAATCATAAAATTCATGTTACTACAGAAACAGACAACTGCTCTACAACTGAGTTTAGTTCAGTATCCCATGCAAGTATATTTACTACTACCACAGAATATGGTACTACAATGTGGAAAATACTAATGAATATGCACCATTTTGAGACATAGGTACCAAAATACTGTCGTAACACAAGGATACCCTGAAGCACTACTCATTGCAGATCTATAAAATATATTTTAACAGTCTCATACAATGAAAAACAAAAAAATGTATGCTCCTGATTTGATTCAAAAGGAACTGTACCTCAATTGTGAGATGTAGGGCAGACACTGGAGGAATCCCCTCACTTCACTCTCTTCATCTGTCCAGTCTCTCAGCTCTACTGGTTTCTTCTCTGTCTGCAGTTTCAGCACTTCTAGGAGGATGGAGCTCTTTCTCTCTGAGAGATATACACACCAGACTGCAGGAGCTGACTGATAAACTGGCTGTAATGCTGGAAGGACACTCCTCCCTGTTTGAGTCTCATAGTCCTTCATATGGGAGTACAGATCCAGCAGGAAGTCACATTTCTCATAAAGAACAGATGATAGCAGTATCTCTATATTTGTCTCAGGGTTTTCATATTGGACAAGAGCTGCTTGCAAACACAGATTAAGTAGAGATGATCTCTTTCTTTTTTCCCAATCTTTAAAGGATTCTTCTTGCATTTGTGGTGGAGAAACTCTACAGATCAAAATAATTTCATTAGAAACTAACATGAAGTTTGATGAAGTGACTGACATGAAGTTTCAGTAGTGTAAATTAGTAAAATATATACTTGAAAAATGTAAATTAGACTCACCTGAGCTGTGAGATGTAGGGCAGACACTGGAGGAATCCCCTCACTTCACTCTCTTCATCTGTCCAGTCTCTCAGCTCTACTGGTTTCTTCTCTGTCTGCAGTTTCAGCACTTCTAGGAGGATGGAGATCTTTCTCTCTGAGAGATTTATTCTCCAGACTGCAGGAGCTGACTGATAAACTGACTGTAATGCTGGAAGGACACTTCTGCCTGTTTGAGTCTCATAGTCCTTCACAAGTGACCACAGATCCAGCAGAAAATCACACTGAAGAATCTGATACATATACTCATCACAATTCTCCTCATTAAAAGGGAAGGATGTGTAGTTACACACAGATAGCTCAGCAAAAATTTCTCCAGAAGTTGTTTTAAGCTCTGAAGCTGTAACAATCAGATTCCTTAGATACTGTACAGCTCCCAGTTTCCTCTGTCCATTAAACACATGTTGTGCAAATCTGAGTAAATAAAGAGCATTTAATGTTAAGTGTTAAAAAGGGCAAGTCAGTTAGTGATAATTTCAGTGTACTCCGTGGACCTCTACAATAAAGGCAGGCATAAACTCAAATTCACATGGGAACATATGAGTTTCAACAATCAATTAAAGCTAAACAAAACATCTCGGTTACGTATGGTATCCCTCATTCCCTGAGGAGGGAACGGAGACAGGAACGGAGAAGTTTCCAACGAATTGGGATCCCGCTAGGGAGACCAATTACATTTGAGTGAATTAAAACGAGCCAATGAATATTGCCATGCAGGATTTGCATTCCGCGCCCTGCCTGCCAGTGCGGGATTGAAGCGGAAGCAAGCACACACACATTTGCTTTACACTGAGGAGCCGGACGGTGTCCAGTCCTCCGCGAAGGTATAGCAAGCATGGCGACGTGACGAGACATCTCCGTTCCCTCCTCAGAATGAGGGTTACCATAAGTAACCGAGATGTTCCCTTTCATTCGGGAACTCCCACGTCTCGTAGGGGTTTCCAATAAATAGGGATCCTTAATAACATGCCATGGTGTTGGCCCCTTCCTGCGCCCAGCTTAGCTTCCCGCTAAAGCAGTTTCTTAGTTTTCTTTACAGCGGGAGCTAGCTAGGAAGAATCACACTGCTGTTCCGCAAGACCCGCTCAGTCGATTTGGATAACACTGGGGAAACGTGCCCACCCTGTAGGAGGAAACGTTGCGGAGCCCCTGCCTGCCCAAAGGGAGGCACTGGAATACACGTATGTACTAGCCCGTAGGGTAGTTAAACATATGGCAGTCCTAGAGGTAGTCCCAGCCCGAGGGCAAGGACCCAGCAAGGACGACAGAACGGGTCTGTCGAGTGGAAGGCACGGTGTGCTAACCTGGAGGGTAGCTGGAACGTGGAAGAAATGGGTAACCGTAGGGACCACTGTTAAGGCCACCCAGTCTAATAACCACTCCTACGAGAGGTAGACCTGGCACCGGGCGATCCGCCTTGCCTGGAGCCGGAGAGGTGATGGAGGAACTCATGAGGTTAGCCGTTTGTTGTGAAACCAACGGAGCAAAAAGTGCACATATCCGGCCTATTAGGCTAGAATGGCGTAGCAAGCCGTCATGACCTAATTCCTCGCACTACTGGCTGTAGCGAGTACACAGGAGGAAACAGGCTCAACACATAAGCTATAAAATATAGCGTACCTGTTAGATGACACCCCGCCCACAGCTCTAGTCACCTTGCCAGTGAGGTGCCTTGCGCCAGCGCCAAAGAGGAGGCAACACTCCTAGTGGAGTGTGCCGTCAACCTAGGTGGGCAAGGCACGTCCTGGGACTCATAATACTGGACGATAGCATCCACTGGACAGTGGGCCTAAAGCTTTGCGTTCTGTTCACGTAACAATGTAGAGCACATACGGGACCAAGAAAAGCTAGGGCTGGGTCTACCTCCTCCGTTGGCAGCGCTTGCAGGTTCACTACCTGATCTACAAATGGAGTAGTAGGAACCTTAAGCACATATTCGAACTGGGGTCTCAGAACAACGTGAGAAAGGCCCTGTCCGAACTCCAAGCAGAATCTGTCGCCGAAAAATGCCTGCAGATCCCCTACCCTCTTGAAAGAGGCCAGAGCCAATAGGAGAGCTGTCTTCATAGACAGAATATTCAACTCCACAGTATTTAAGGGCTCAAAAGGGGGCCTCTGAAGAGCACTAGAGCTATGTCCCAAGAGGGTACAGAGTGCAGATTACGAGGCAGATTTAACCTCCTACTACCCTTAAGGAATCTGATGACCAGGTCATGCTTTCCTAATAACTTCCCATCTACTGTATCGTGATGAGCAGCTATTGCTTCAACATACACTTTGAGGGTGGAGGGAGACAGCCTTCACTCCAACCCATCTTGCAGGAAAGCACGACTCTGATCAGGCAAGATCGGGGGTCTTCCCAGCGTGAAGAGCACCAAACGACAAACAGGTTCCACTTCAATGCATAGAGGCGCCTCGTAGAGGGGGCTCTAGCGAAAGAGATGGTGTCTACCATAGCCTATGGTAGGCCACCTACAACGTCCGCGCCCCGTCCAGGGACTAGACATGGAGTCTCCAGAGGTCTGGACACGGGTGCTATAGAGTTGCCTGTCTCTGAGAAAGCAGGTCCTTCCTTAGAGGAATGGGCCAAGGAGATAATGTCGCTAGGAGCATAAGTTCCGGGAACCCGGTCAGGTTGGGCCAATATGGCACAACTAGCAAGACCTGGGGCCTCATGTATAAAACTTTGTGTAGATTTCATCCTTAAAGTGTGCGTACGCACATAAGGCAGAATTTGCGTACGCACAAAAGTTTTCAGATTTATAAAACCGTTCGTACGCCAGAACCTGCGCAGAATTCACTTTATAAATCCCAGTCAGCGGGAGATTATGCGCACGTGCGTCTCCTCCCCGAAATAACCATATATGGACATTACAACGCCTAGTTTAAATATGCATATCCTCATCTGCATATCATTTGCATATGATTATTCATCCACGTGATACCAAGTTTAACGGTACAAGACGTTAGGAAAATATGAAATGCGGATGTGCCGTCACATTATTACAAACATTTTTTTTTAGTAGCCTATATCCTTGCCTTGTTTTTGAATGAATAAATCAGATAGTGTTAAATACATTTCAGAGAAAGTTTTTCTCAATCTTTTCCACTGGCCAAATAGTATTTTTAATTGATTTATATTTTAATGGTAAGAGATAGTGTCATGAACAATCAGACACAGGTAGATCCAAACGCAGCATAGGTTTATTTACAGGATAGTCAGACAGGCAAGGGTCACACACAGCAGACACAGCATAGGAGACAAGGCTAAATCACAATCCAAATACCAGGCAGGAGAACAGAGGCAGGTAGCAGACGACACAAGATCCAGGGAACAGGCAGAAGGTCAATGGGCAGGCAGCAGACAATCGAGGAGAAGAGGATTCAGCAAGGGTCATAAACACGGACGGGCAATCAAACTAGGAAACGCTCAAAAGCAGACTTGGAATCAAGACTAGATATCAGACTGGATTACAGACTAGGAGACGCTAGGAGTTGAACACAACAGTGAATCATACCTTCATTCAAGACTTCGCAAAGAGTGATAGAGACAGTGAGGTATAAATGTGTGTGGAGCTGCGTGTGGAACTAGATGCAGGTGTGAGAGTGATCAATGGAAACAGGTGTGAGCGTTATCAGTTCAGGGAAAAGCAGTTCAGAAGTGGAGTGCCCTCTCATGGCATTCGAGGGCAATCCAGCCGATCATCGTTACATAACCCCCCCACTAAGGAGCGGCTTCCAGATGCTCCAAAAACGATCCAGGCGGGGGGATGAGCGAAGGCGATCCTGGGGGAGGGACGGAGGGCCAGGCCCGTGCAGGGGAACGGGCTCAGGACATAGCCACGGCGGGCCTGAGCCGCATAGTGTAGGCAGACCTGACTGGGGAGGTGGCCAGAGTGGAGCAGGACGAGGCCAGAGCCAGGGCGGAGCAGGACGAGGCCAGGGCCAGGGCGGAGCAGGGCGAGGCAAGGGCCATGTCAACGTCGCCTCCATGGCCCCCACAGAGTACCTACTGCCCCCCCCCAAAAAAAATACTTGGCACGCTCACCGGGGCCAGGCGAACTGAACGAGTCCTCCTTCTCCTCCTGGGGCGGCGCGTCACAGGGCTGGACAACTCGCTCACTTGAACTGGAGATTCAGCGCTCACTTGAACTGGAGATTCAGCGCTCACTTGAACTGGAGATGCAGCGCTCACCTGAACTGGAGATGCAGCGCTCACTTGAACAGGAGATTCAGCGCTCACTTGAACAGGAGATTGAGCGCTCACTTGAACTGGAGGTTCAGCACTCACTTGAACTGGAGATTCAGCGCTCACTTGAACAGGAGATGCAGCGCTCACTTGAACAGGAGATGCAGCGCTCACTTGAACTGGAGATGCAGCGCTCACTTGAACTGGATATGCAGCGCTCACTTGAACTGGAGATGCAGCGCTCACTTGAACTGGAGATGCAGCGCTCACTTGAACTGGAGATGCAGCGCTCACTTGAACTGGAGATGCAGCGCTCACTTGAACTGGAGATGCAGCGCTCACTTGAACAGGAGATTCAGCGCTCACTTGAACAGGAGATTCAGCGCTCACTTGAACTGGAGGTTCAGCGCTCACTTGAACAGGAGATGCAGCGCTCACTTGAACAGGATCACTCACTTGAACTGAAGATTCACTCACTTGAACAGGAGATTCCCTCGCGGGGCTCACGTGAATCTTGGGTTCGGCTGGGCAGACGTGAGTCGTGGGATCGGCAGACAGAGACTCAGGCATGTCGGTCTTGGCAGGAAGAAGCTCAGGCATTTCGTGAAAAAGCTCAGGCATGTCAAGTAGATTCAGCGCAACATGAGTAGACCCTGGTTCGGTGAATGCTGAGGCGTCGTGGAGTACCTTCCCCATCTTACCCACAGAGAGAGCAGAACCACTCAGTTGAAGGGCTGAATCAATATACTGCCTTAAAGTGCTGTCAGGCTCAGGGTTGGGCATCAATGAGCGAAGTGGTTCAGATAACCCTCCACGGAAAAAGATCGTTAAGCAATGAGTGCTCATAGACGTGTAATGAGAAAGTTCAACAAACTCCTCAACATACCAGTCAAGAGATCGAGCTTCTTGACGAAGTCGCATAATCTCAGCTCCTGTATCTGTGTTCAGCATCGCTGCGTGAGCTCGTCGTGATACCTTGCTGTCGAATTTTCCCGGGAGAGCTTGCCCTGTGGAACTGGGATCGGCTCAGGGGTGAACACTGTGGAGACGGGTTGAGTCTGCGATGGTCCCGATGTGGAAACATGAAGACCGCGAACCATCTTGGCCAACCTCTCCTATGACGAGGTGAGTTGAGCCAGTCGATCCTGGTGTACGGCGCTAAGAACTGCTTTGGCTGACTGGGTGGCATACACGGCTGACATGCTGCTGGATCTGGTTATGGCGA